TCAGTCACTCTGAGGTGTTTGTTATTGTTAGTCACTCAGGTGTTTGTTATTGTTAGTCACTCTGAGGTGTTTGTTATTGTCAGCCACTCTGAGGTGTTTGTTATTGTCAGTCACTCTGAGGTGTTTGTTATTGTTAGTCACTCTGAGGTGTTTGTTATTGTCAGTCACTCTGAGGTGTTTGTTATTGTCAGTCACTCTGAGGTGTTTGTTATTGTCAGTCACTCTGAGGTGTTATTGTCAGCTACTCTGAGGTGTTTGTTTTTGTTAGTTACTCTGAGGTGTTTGTTATTGTCAGTCACTCTGAGGTGTTTGTTATTGTTAGTCACTCTGAGGTGTTTGTTATTGTCAGCCACTCTGAGGTGTTTGTTTTTGTTAGTTACTCTGAGGTGTTTGTTATTGTCAGTCACTCTGAGGTGTTTGTTATTGTTAGTCACTCAGGTGTTTGTTATTGTTAGTCACTCTGAGGTGTTTGTTATTGTTAGTCACTCTGAGGTGTTTGTTATTGTCAGCCACTCTGAGGTGTTTGTTTTTGTTAGTTACTCTGAGGTGTTTGTTATTGTCAGTCACTCTGAGGTGTTTGTTATTGTTAGTCACTCAGGTGTTTGTTATTGTTAGTCACTCTGAGGTGTTTGTTATTGTCAGTCACTCTGAGGTGTTTGTTATTGTTAGTCACTCAGGTGTTTGTTATTGTCAGTCACTCTGAGGTGTTTGTTATTGTTAGTCACTCTGAGGTGTTTGTTATTGTTAGTTACTCTGAGGTGTTTGTTATTGTTAGTCACTCTGAGGTGTTTGTTATTGTCAGCCACTCTGAGGTGTTTGTTTTTGTTAGTCACTCTGAGGTGTTTGTTATTGTTAGTTACTCTGAGGTGTTTGTTATTGTTAGTCACTCTGAGGTGTTTGTTATTGTTAGTCACTCTGAGGTGTTTGTTATTGTTAGTCACTCTGAGGTGTTTGTTATTGTCATCACTCTGAGGTGTTTGTATTGTCAGTCACTCTGAGGTGTTTGTTATTGATTAGTCACTCTGAGTGTGTTTGTTATTGTTAGTCACTCTGAGGTGTTTGTTATTTGTTAGTCTGAGGTGTTTGTTATTGTTAGTCACTCTGAGGTGTTTGTTATTGTCAGTCACTCTGAGGTGTTTGTTATTGTTAGTCTGAGGTGTTTGTTATTGTTAGTCACTCTGAGGTGTTTGTTATTGTTAGTCACTCTGAGGTGTTTTGTTATTGTTAGTCACTCTGAGGTGTTTGTTATTGTTAGTCACTCTGAGGTGTTTGTTATTGTCAGTCACTCTGAGGTGTTTGTTATTGTCAGTCACTCTGAGGTGTTTGTTATTGTTAGTCACTCTGAGGTGTTTGTTATTGTTAGTCACTCTGAGGTGTTTGTTATTGTTAGTCTGAGGTGTTTGTTATTGTCAGTCACTCTGAGGTGTTTGTTATTGTCAGTCACTCTGAGGTGTTTGTTATTGTTAGTCACTCTGAGGTGTTTGTTATTGTCAGTCACTCAGGTGTTTGTTATTGTTAGTCACTCTGAGGTGTTTGTTATTGTTAGTCACTCTGAGGTGTTTGTTATTGTTAGTCACTCTGAGGTGTTTGTTATTGTTAGTCACTCTGAGGTGTTTGTTATTGTTAGTCACTCTGAGGTGTTTGTTATTGTCAGTCACTCTGAGGTGTTTGTTATTGTTAGTCACTCAGGTGTTTGTTATTGTTAGTCACTCTGAGGTGTTTGTTATTGTTAGTCACTCTGAGGTGTTTGTTATTGTCAGTCACTCTGAGGTGTTTGTTATTGTTAGTCACTCTGAGGTGTTTGTTATTGTTAGTCACTCAGGTGTTTGTTATTGTTTGTTTCTCTGAGGTGTTTGTTTTTGTTAGTTACTCTGAGGTGTTTGTTATTGTCAGTCACTCTCAGGTGTTTGTTATTGTCAGTCACTCTCAGGTGTTTGTTATTGTCAGTCACTCTCAGGTGTTTGTTATTGTCAGTCACTCAGGTGTTTGTTATTGTTAGTCACTCTCAGGTGTTTGTTATTGTCAGTCACTCTGAGGTGTTTGTTATTGTCAGTCACTCAGGTGTTTGTTATTGTTAGTCACTCTCAGGTGTTTGTTATTGTTAGTCACTCTCAGGTGTTTGTTATTGTCAGTCACTCTCAGGTGTTTGTTGTTGTCAGTCACTCAGGTGTTTGTTATTGTCAGTCACTCAGGTGTTTGTTATTGTCAGTCACTCAGGTGTTTGTTATTGTCAGTCACTCAGGTGTTTGTTATTGTCACTCAGGTGTTTGTTTACCGTACGCTACATGTTACTCACTGCTAAGTCTATCATATCAGGGGCAATTTACCTTGGTTGTGTGGTTTGAAGCCTATCTGCCGTACTTCGGTCAGTAACGATGCATCTCACCCTTACGCACTACAATAAGGACTAAACTCTCAATGTATGTCAGGTTAAAGATAGACCTCACTGAATATATATATATATTATATATATATATATATATATATATATATATATATATATATATATATATATATTATATATATATATGTAATAAAGGTTAGGTAAGTTTTCTAAGATTCTTTTGGTGCAAAATTAAAATTTTTTACATTAACATTTATGAAAAAATATATCTTTAAACGTATAAGAGAAAATTTCAGAAAGGACTTAATTTTAAATGAGTTCTTGCTAATTGACCAGTTTTACATATTCGGCACGACATATATATATCAAAGTTCCTTTGTGCTTCATGCGATTGTATCTGCTGAGACCTCCTCCTCTTTCTTGCAAGCTCCTGATGATGTGTTGATTGCGACACGAAAGGCCTAGAGCTATCATTCAACTCCCCCTGTGGTTGTTTTGCATCTTGGAACTGTATCCGCTGATACAGAGGCATTTCCTTTTTTTTATTTCATTTTTTAAATTATAATGATGTCCATCACATTAAGGAATGTTTACTACACACTGGATATTAGGAAATGTTTACTGCACACTGGATATTAGGGAATGTTTACTACACACTGGATATTAGGAAATGTTTACTACACACTGGATATTAGGAAATGTTTATCCACTGGATATTAGGGATTTACTACACTGGATATTAGGGAATGTTTACTACACACTGGATATTAGGGAATGTTTACTACACACTGGATATTAGGAAATGTTTACTACACACTGGATATTAGGAAATGTTTACTACACACTGGATATTAGGAATGTTTACTCACACTGGATATTAGGAAATGTTTACTACACACTGGATATTAGGAAATGTTTACTACACACTGGATATTAGGGAATGTTTACTACACACTGGATATTAGGGAATGTTTACTACACACTGGATATTAGGGAATGTTTACTACACACTGGATATTAGGAATGTTACTACACACTGGATATTAGGGAATGTTTACTGACACTGGATATTAGGAAATGTTTACTACACACTGGATATTAGGAATGTTTATACACTGGATATTAGGGAATGTTTATACCACTGGTTTAGGGAATGTTTTACTGCACATGGATATTAGGGAATGTTTACTACACATGGTATTAGGGAATGTTTACTACACCATGGATATTAGGGATGTTTATCCATGGAATTAGGCAATGTTTACTGCACACTGTGATATTAGGTAAATGTTTACTGCCACTGGATTTAGGAAATGTTTACTACACACTGGATATTAGGAAATGTTACTGCACACTGGATATTAGGAATGTTTACTACACTGGATATTAGGAATTTACTGACACTGGATATTAGGGAATGTTTACTCACACTGGTATTAGGAAATGTTTACTGCACACTGGATATTAGGAAATTGTTTACTGCACCACTGGATATTAGGAATGTTTATGCCACTGGATATTAGGAAATGTTACTGCATACTGGATATTAGAAATGTTTACTGCACTACTGGATATTAGGAAATGTTTACTGCACACTGGATATTAGGAAATGTTTACTGCATACTGGATATTAGGAAATGTTTACTGCACACTGGATATTAGGAAATGTTTACTGCATACTGGATATTAGGAAATGTTTACTGCACACTGGATATTAGGAAATGTTTACTACATACTGGATATTAAATAAGACAGGAAGGTTATTATTAAATAACTTAATTTCTCTGAGATAATAATGTGATGACTCGTTGCTTGGTATGTTATGTTAGTTACTGTTTGTCGAAGGTACTTTTCGATTGTGTGTGTGTGTGTGTGTGTGTGTGTGTGTGTGTGTGTGTGTGTGTTTGTGTACTCACCCAATTCTGGCTGCAGGGGTGGTTGATTCATAGCTCCTGGCCCCGCCTCCTCACTGGTCGCTACTAGGTCCACTCTTTCCCTGCTCCATGAGCTTTATCAAACCCCTTCTTAAAGCTGTGTATGGTACCTGCCTCCACTACCTCACTTGCCAGACTGTTCCACTTCCTGACAACTTTGTGACTGAAGAAATACTTCCTAACATCCCTGTGACTCATCTGAGTCTTCAACTTCCAATTATGACCCCTTGTTTCTGTGTCCCATCTCTGGAACGTCTTGTCTCTGTCCACCTTGTCGATTCCTGGCAGTATTTTATATGTCGTTATCATGTCCCCCCTTCCCCTGGTCTCCCTCTCTCTGTCTCTCTGTCTCCTGTCCTCCAGTGTCGTCAGGTTGAGCTTAGTTATGTATGTGTACTGCCGAATATTTCTTGATCAATGGTCTAAATTAGTACAGGTGTTCAGTTTTAATTAGTACAGGTGTTCAGTTTTAATTAGTACAGGTGTTCAGTTTTAATTAGTACAGGTGTTCAGTTTTAATTAGTACAGGTGTTCAGTTTTAATTAGTACAGGTGTTCAGTTTTAATTAGTACATTTTTAGGGGGCAAGTATTTTTTCCTTTGTCACGTGTTCTTTTTCGTGCAGGTGTTTTTTCATAAATAACGCAGGTGTTTTATTCTAATTTGTGTATGTTTTTAAATTTACCATTGTATATCATCTGATGCTAAAAAAATATTTTTCAGGTGTTTTGTAATAGCCGATTTAGGTTTAAACACGTGTGCGTTCAAAATTTGGAGAGGTTCATCGCTGAAGTGAACCATTGTTGTGATGACAAGTGTGATGACCGGATTTAAAAATGGTGAAGTTATAGTGAGAATGACGCAATAAACAGTGAGGAACAGTGAAACTTGACAGTGACACTTGGAACAGTAAATCTTGAAGCAGTGACACTTGGAACAGTGACACTATAAACAGTGCCACTTGCTAATAGTGTCACTATAAACATTGCCACTTCAAATATTGACACTTGGAACAGTGACACTTGCTAACAGTGACACTATAAACAGTGCCACTTGCTAATAGTGACACTATAAACAGTGCCACTTCAAATATTGACACTTGGAACAGTGACAGAACAGTGAGGGGTTAAGCAGTGACGTCGAAATTTGGGGTTTGGTGAAAATTGAAAGTATGGCACTTTGCGGTGAAACGATGGTACAGTGAAGGTACAGTGACTGAGGGAGGGGGAGGGGGAGCGATTGATGGTGAGAGGTGTGGTGATAGCCCTGGTGATGGTGTGGTAAAGGTGCTTGCAGGGATGGTGAGGTAGTGATGAACGGGGGGTTAGTCCAGCGTCTGGCACAACTCAACCTCATCCGTGACCCAGCTACTGTAGGCACTAAGACCCTTGTTATTACCAGACCCCGCCAGCACCCAGTACACCCAGGTAAGACCAGTGTACAGTACACCCAGCTACTGTAGGCACTAAGACCCTTGTTATTACCAGACCCCGCCAGCACCCAGTACACCCAGGTAAGACCAGTGTACAGTACACCCAGCTACTGTAGGCACTAAGACCCCTTGTTATTACCAGACCCCGCCAGCACCCAGTACACCCAGGTAAGACCAGTGTACAGTACACCCAGCTACTGTAGGCACTAAGACCCTTGTTATTACCAGACCCCGCCAGCACCCAGTACACCCAGGTAAGACCAGTGTACAGTACACCCAGCTACTGTAGGCACTAAGACCCTTGTTATTACCAGACCCGCCAGCACCAGTACACCCAGGTAAGACCAGTGTACAGTACACCCAGCTACTGTAGGCACTAAGACCCTTGTTATTACCAGACCCCGCCAGCACCCAGTACACCCAGGTAAGACCAGTGTACAGTACACCCAGCTACTGTAGGCACTAAGACCCTTGTTATTACCAGACCCGCCAGCACCCAGTACACCCAGGTAAGACCAGTGTACAGTACACCCAGCTACTGTAGGCACTAAGACCCTTGTTATTACCAGACCCCGCCAGCACCCAGTACACCCAGGTAAGACCAGTGTACAGTACACCCAGCTACTGTAGGCACTAAGACCCTTGTTATTACCAGACCCCGCCAGCACCCAGTACACCCAGGTAAGACCAGTGTACAGTACACCCAGCTACTGTAGGCACTAAGACCCTTGTTATTACCAGACCCCGCCAGCACCCAGTACACCCAGGTAAAGACCAGTGTAAAAGTACACCCAGCTACTGTAGGCACTAAGACCCTTGTTATTACCAGACCCCGCCAGCACCCAGTACACCCAGGTAAGACCAGTGTACAGTACACCAGCTACTGTAGGCACTAAGACCCTTGTTATTACCAGACCCCGCCAGCACCCAGTACACCCAGGTAAGACCAGTGTACAGTACACCCAGGTAAGACCAGTGTACAATACACCCAGCTACCGTAGGCGCTAAGACCCTTATTACCAGACCCCGCCAGCACCCAGTACACCCAGGTAAGACCTGTGTACAGTACACCCAGCTACCGTAGGCACTAAGACCCTTGTTATTAGCAGACCCCGCCAGCACCCAGTACACCCAGGTAAGACCAGTGTACAGTACACCCAGCTACCGTAGGCACTAAGACCCTTATTATTACCAGACCCCGCCAGCACCCAGTACACCCAGGTAAGACCAGTGTACAGTACACCCAGCTACCGTAGGCACTGAGACCCTTGTTATTACCAGACCCCGCCAGCACCCAGTACACCCAGGTAAGACCAGTGTACACTACACCCAGGTAAGACCAGTGTACACTACAGCCAGGTAAGACCAATGTACACTACACCCAGTACACCCAGGTAAGACCAGTGTACACTACACCCAGTACACCCAGGTAAGACCAGTGTACGCTACACCCAGTACACTCAGGTAAGACCAGTGTACACTACACCCGTACACCCAGGTAAGACCAGTGTACACTACACCCAGTACACCCAGGTAAGGCCAGTGTACACTACACCAGTACGCCCAGATAAGACCAGTGTACACTGCACCGAAGTAAGACCAGTGTGCATTACACCCAGTGCACACAAGTGAGACCAGTGTACACCACACCAAGTACACTCAGGTAAGATCACTACACCCACTGCACCCACTGCACCCACTGCACCCAGGTAAGTGATGTTGACACAGTGGGTGTAGTGGTGTTGACACAGTTGATGTGGTGGTGTTGAAACAGTGGGTGTGGCGGTGTTGACACAGTGGGTGTAGTGGTGTTGACATAGTGGGTGTAGTGTTGACACAGTGGGCGTAGTGGTTTTGACACAGCGGGTGTAGTGGTTTTAACACAGTGGGTGTAGTGTTGACACTGTGGGTGTAGTTTTGACACAGTGGGTGTGGTGCTGTTGACACAGTGGGTACAGTGGTGACTCATTGGGTGTGGTGTTGACACAGTGGGCTGTAGTGTTGACACAGTTTGTGTAGTGGTGTTGACACAATGGAAGTAGTGGTGTTGACACAGTGGGTGTAGTGTTGACACAGTGGGTGTAGTGTTGACTCAGTGGGTGTAGTGTTGGCATAGTGGGTGGGTTGGTATTGACACAATGGGTGTGGTGTTGACACAGTGGGTGGGGTGGTGTTGGCACAGTGGGTGCAGTGGTGTTGACACAGTGGGTGTAGTGGTGTTGACACAGTGGGTGTAGTGTTGACAGTAGATGTAGTGGTGTTGACACAGTGGGTGTAGTGTTGTTGACAAAGCGGGTGTAGTGGTGTTGACACAGTGGGTGTAGTGTTGTTGACAAAGTGGGTGTAGTGGTGTTGACACAGTGGGTGTAGTGTTGACACAGTGGGTGTGGTGTTGACTCAGTGGGTGTAGTGTTGGCATAGTGGGTGGGTTGGTATTGACACAATGGGTGTGGTGTTGACACAGTGGGTGGGGTGGTGTTGGCACAGTGGGTGCAGTGGTGTTGACACAGTGGGTGTAGTGGTGTTGACACAGTGGGTGTAGTGTTGACAGTAGATGTAGTGGTGTTGACACAGTGGGTGTAGTGTTGTTGACAAAGCGGGTGTAGTGGTGTTGACACAGTGGGTGTAGTGTTGTTGACAAAGTGGGTGTAGTGGTGTTGACACAGTGGGTGTAGTGTTGACAGTGGGTATAGTGGTGTTGACACAGTGGGTGTAGTGGTGTTGGCAAAGCGGGTGTAGTGTTGACACAGTGGGTGTAGTGGTGTTGACACAGAGGGTGTAGTGGTGTTGACACAGAGGGTGTAGTGGTATTGACACAGAGGGTGTAGTGGTGTTGACAAAGCGGGTGTAGTAGTGTTGACACAGTGGATGTAGTGTTGACACAGTGGGTGTAGTGTTGACACAGTGGGTGTAGTGTTGACACAGTGGGTTGTAGTGTTGACACAGTGGTGTGTGTGTTGACACAGTGGGTGTAGTGTTGACACAGTGGGTGTAGTGTTGACACAGTGGGTGTAGTGTTGACACAGTGGGTGTAGTGTTGACACAGTGGGTGTGGTGTTGACACAGTGGGTGTATTGTTGACACAGTGGGTGTAGTGTTGACACAGTGGGTGTAGTGTTGACACAGTGGGTGTATTGTTGACACAGTGGGTGTAGTGTTGACACAGTGGGTGTAGTGTTGACACAGTGGGTGTAGTGTTGACACAGTGGGTGTGGTGGCCACACCCATCATTATACTGATGGTTTCGTTAACATTCAGCCAGACACCACCTGTTGCCCACCTCCTATCCCTTCCCCTACCCTCCCCTTCCCCCTCCCTCCCCTTCCCCTACCCACCCCTTCCCCTACCCACCCATCCCACCTGCATCCTCCCCTCTCCCTCCCCTGCCCCCTGGCTTTTTCCCGTCAGTTGCCTCCTAGTTCCCTTTCACCTCCCATGGTGCCTAACTTGCCACCTCTCCTGAATGTAGCATGGTAGTATCATGGTAGTCTCTCAGTGGTTGATGGCAACATGGTACTGTTATAATAGTCTCCCAGTGGTTGATGGCAGTATGGTACTGTCATGATATTCTCCCAGTGGTTGATGGTAGTCTCCAGTGGATGGTAGAATAGCAGTTTCACGGTAGTCTCCCAGTGGTTAATGGTAGCATGGTAGTCTCCCAGTGGTTGATGGTACCATGGTAGTCTCCCAGTGGTTGATGGTAGCATGGTAGTCTCCCAGTGGTTGATGGTAGCATGGTAGTCTCCCAGTGGTTGATGGTAGCATGGTAGTCTTCCAGTGGTTGATGGTAGCATGGTAGTCTCCCAGTGGTTGATGGTAGCATGGTAGTCTCCCAGTGGTTGATGGTAGCATGGTAGTCTCCCAGTGGTTGATCGTAAAATGGTAGTGTCATGGTAGTCTTCCAGCGATTGATGGCACCATGGTAGTCTCCCAGTGGTTGATGGTATCATGGTAGCCTCCCAGTGATTGATGGTAGTATGATGATAGTCTCCCAGTGGTTGATGGTAGCATGGTAGTGTCATGGTTGTCTCCCAGTGGTTGATTTTAGCATGGTAGTGTCATGGTGGTCTCCCAGTGGTTGATGGTAGCATGGTAATCCTCAAGTGATTGATGGTACAATAGTTGTATCATGGTAATATCCCAATGGTTGATAGTATCATGGTAGTCTTCCAATGGTTTATGATATCATGGTAGTTTCCCAGTGGTTGATTTTAGCATGGTAGTATTATGGTAGTCTCCCAGTGGCTGATTTTAGCATGGTAGTATCATGGTAGTCTCCCAGTGGTTGATGGTAGCATGGTAGTCTCCCAGTGGTTGATGGTAATATAATGGTAGTCTCCCAGTGGTTGATGGTAATATAATGGTAGTCTCCCAGTGGTTTATGGTAGTATCATGGTTGTCTCCCAGTGGTTGATGGTAATATCATGGTAGTCTCCCAGTGGTCGATGGTAGTATCATGGTAGTCTCCCAGTGGTTGATGGTAGTATCGTGGTAGTCTCCCAGTGGTTGATGGTAGTATTATGGTAGTCCCCCAGTGGTTAATGGTAGTATCATGGTAGTCTTCCAGTGGTTGATGGTAGTATTATGGTAGTATGGTAGTCCCCCAGTGGTTAATGGTAGTATCATGGTAGTCTCCTAGTGGTTGATGGTAGTCTCCCAGTGGTTAATGGTAGTATCATGGTAGTCTCCCAGTGGTTGATGGTAGTATTATGGTAGTATGGTAGTCTCCCAGTGGTTAATGGTAGTATCATGGTAGTCTCCCAGTGGTTGATGGTAGTATTATGGTAGTATGGTAGTCCCCCAGTGGTTAATGGTAGTATCATGGTAGTCTCCTAGTGGTTGATGGTAGTCTCCCAGTGGTTAATGGTAGTATCATGGTAGTCTCCCAGTGGTTGATGGTAGTATTATGGTAGTATGGTAGTCTCCCAGTGGTTAATGGTAGTATCATGGTAGTCTCCCAGTGGTTGATGGTAGTATTATGGTAGTATGGTAGTCTCCCAGTGGTTAATGGTAGTATCATGGTGTGTGGATCATCATTCAGGTACAACCTGAGAATCTGTCAATATCTCTCCTGCTTAATTTCCAGCTCCGTTACCTGCTAAAAGTAATTAATTTTCATGCCGTTAATGTCTGTCCTGCAAGTGATAGTGGGAAGAACCTACACTGTTGCAGTGTCCTCGTACACTCACTGTACACTCACTGTACACTCTATTTTCTCTTAATTACAGTTTACATTTTTTCACAGTTATGCTGACATTGATGTCCATTTTTCAGGTCGATTTTATTTTGTGTTTCTGTGTAAAATTTTTTAATGTCCCGTAGACCGATGTTTATGTTTAGGTGTCCAGATGTTCAAGTGTCCAGATGTTCAAGTGTCCAGATGTTCAAGTGTTCACATGTTCAAGTGTTAAATTTTCCTTGACAGATGATGGCGACACGGACCAAGAGACGGACCGCCTGCTGGGCCAGCAGAGGTCAGATGACACGGGCTTCTACGACGAGAAGGTATGTACCCGCCCTCTCTTGACGTACCCGCACTCTCTTGACACGTACCCGCACTCTCTTGACACGTACCCGCACTCTCTTGACACGTCCCCGCACTCTCTTGACACGTACCCGCACTCTCTTGGCGTCCCCGCACTCTCTTGACACGTACCCGCACTCTCTTGACACGTACCCGCACTCTCTTGGCGTCCCCGCACTCTCTTGACACGTACCCGCACTCTCTTGGCGTCCCCGCACTCTCTTGACACGTACCCGCACTCTCTTGACACGTACCCGCACTCTTGGCGTCCCCGCACTCTCTTGACACGTACCCGCACTCTCTTGACACGTACCCGCACTCTCTTGACACGTACCCGCACTCTCTTGATACCTACCCGCTGCCGTGGCTCTCTGGAATTCCTCTTTCTATAACATACATTGTGACGTATTTATATAATGTGTATAATATACAATAATGTACATTATACAAAGGAAGGTTTGTCAGGTGGTCTACCTACCTGGAGGATGTCCCAGGGGTCAGCGCCCCTCCCCCCGGCCCAGTCCTTCACCAGACCACAGAGAAACAAACTCTACTGTGGTGACATTGGTCTGTTCTGTGATTGGCTTTATTTTGAGACCAGTTACATTGTACGTGTCCACAGAACCCAACAGAATGTTTATCAATAATCATGGTGTTCAGTGTGTGTGAAGGCTTACTCAGTTCTGTAACAACTTCAGACAGTATTACCAAAGCTGGCTCCTCCTCAGCAAAATTAATGAATAGAAAAAGAACAAAAACTGACAAACATAAACACTTTATTATTTAGAAAATATAAAATATAAAACACTTAAATATGAAATATTGATCCTACTTTAAAGAAAATGAAAAATATAAATGATAACTGAATTCAACGCTAATATAAATGTATATAAAACGTGGGTGTCAGGTGTTGGTGACACTGCGTGTTGTTGAAATCGTAGCCGTTGCTGATGATGGGGGGGGTGTCGCTTTCAGTAATCCTTCCAGATGACAGGAAAGCAGGTTTTCTCCACTGCAATGATGAGGGGTTATATCCTGCTACTTGCATACACAAACAGGTAAGTGGATCAAAATTTGGGACATCTCACAACGTTAGTCCGTCTCCTTCAACTCTACTCGTTGATTGGCAGGTGACCCTCTCTGTCATCCAAGCTGGAAAGATAGACAGGCTACCCACTGCTAAATAAATCACTCTCCATGATAAGTACAATACCTAGAAGATGTGGTGATTATTACAACAGTCAACTTAGAGCAAGACTGAAAGGACTAAGTTTATTATTGGTCAAAAGTGAAGCTTTCAACCAATAAATCCACTAGAATACAAGGCAGGCATGTACTTACAGTAGTGCTGGGAGCTGTGAGTCTAGTGATTACTGTTTGGACCGGAGCCCCACACGTCACCTTTGGGGGGGGGGAAGAAGGAGGGGAAGGGATAGCGGGAGCTAGACTGACCCTACCTTAACAAGCAGCCGGCAATCAAACTATCACTTTCGGGGTGGGGGAAAAAAAGGCGGGAATAGCGGGAGCTAGACTTACCCTACCTTAACAAGTAGCCGGCAATGAAACTATTGTTACTATATACTCCATCGCTACTCCTATCTATTGAACTTTTCCCTCACACTCCCCCATACCAAGACTTATAGTCAAGGAGTATAAGAAGAATAGGCGAGGAAAAAGTTCTAACATGTGGAAGTCGCGTAAGGCAACAAATCTTCTACTGACTGTCATGACTTAACCAGTCAGAGAAATAATTGGGTGAACCATTGATATACACAATATGGAACTTAAAAGCCTGGAGTGCCGATGTCCACCTCAAGAGGCGACTGTTGGTTCCCTTAAAAGTTTCTAGGTATATCAAAGGTTTGTGGTCCGTTTCTAAAATGAATTCTTTTCCCAGCAAATAAAATTTAAGTTTGGAGATACCCCACACAAGGGCTAAACATTCCTTTTCTATTGTGGAGTATCTCGTTTCTGCGGGAAGGAGTTTCCGGCTTAGGAAGCATACAGGGAAGGGAGTACCATCATGGTATTGTAGTAACACTGCACCTAAGCCAGTATTGGAGGCATCAGTTCTTAAGCAAAATATTTTATTAATATCTGGAATCTTAAGTATAGGGTCTTTCGAAAAGATACTTTTGATCTCATTAAACTTTTCCCGAGCTACGTCGGAAAGTTCAAGAGGTTCCTTCACAGACTTTTTAAGGAAGTCGGATAAGATGCCTGTAAGATCAGTAAGGTTCGGGATAAACCGCACATAAAAATTTACAGAACCAAGAAAGCTACGCATGAGCTTCTTGGTTTTGGGGAATTTAAATTCTAATAAAGCTTTGATCTTACTGGGGAGAGGCTGCAGAGATTTATTAGAAAGTATCAGTCCAAGACATCTAATCTTGTTATACCCAAGGAAGCATTTCTTCGGCTTGGCAGTGAGGCCATGAGAGCATAACCTACGCAAAACTGATGTTAATGTTTGGATATGTTCGCCCCACGTGGATGTCATTACGTAAATGTTATCAAAATAAACTGAAACATTTGGCATATTACCCAAGACCTTTCTCTGGTGGCCTGGTGGTTAATGCTCTCGCTTCACACGGCGAGGGCCTGGGTTCGATTCCCAGCCAAAGTAGAAACATTGGGCGTATTTCTTTCCTCCTGTTGTCTATGTTCTCCATCAGTAAAATGGGTACCTGGGTGTTAGTCGACTGGTGTGGGTCGCATCCTGGGACACTGACCTAATTTGCCCGACATGCTCAGGATAACAGGTGGCTTTCTATGTAGTATGTCATTGTTGTCAGCTAGGACTGTGTACCATGTACATGTACTTGTAGTAAATAAAGATATTATATTATATTATATTATATATTATATCAGTCTCACGTAGGTAGCACAGACAGTTACCAAACCGAAGGGCATAGTTCTATACTGCATCAGTCCTTGGTGTGTAGGAAAAGCGGTGTACTGCTAAGTAGAAGGATCTAACATTACTTGATGATATGCCTGCGCAATATCAATCTCTGAAAAGAAGGGTCATAAAATTTGTGTAGATCGCTATCTATTAAGGGCATAGGCTCAGCAGCCCACCGAGTTATAGCGTTAAGGCCTCTGAAGTCAATAGCAAGTCTATATGAATTATCCTCCTTCTTAACCATGACTACTGGTGAGCAATATGCAGATACTGAAGGTTCAGTGATCTTTAGTTTTAATAATTTGTCTACCTCTCGGTCAAATGCATCCCTAAGGTGAACTGGAACTGGGTATAATTTTCGTTTGATAGGATTGTCCGTCACTAAGTCAATCTTATGGACTACCGTGGAGGTAACACCTGGAATATCAGTAAAGACGTCTGAAAAGTTACTCACACATTGAAGTAGTTCATGTCTCTTATGGTCATCCAAAGATTCATTAATATTAATGTTGGTTGCATCCGAGTGGTCAAGAGTCACCAAGTCATGTAGTTCTTCATCATAGTCTAAGTTAGAGGTGTCAATTACGCACACTTTACATTCTTCATTTGTCGTATCAAGTTCGTGTGGAAAAACTAAGTCAAAGTTATTAAGGCAGTTAACCGAATTTCTTCGGTAATATTTCTTAAGGATGTTGATATGATAAAGCTTAGGTTTTCCCTTGACTTCTATGAGGTAGTCAACTTTCCCACAAATTTTTAATACTTTATATGGACCTTCCCATGCTACAAATAATTTATTTGACTTGATAGGCAAAAGTACAAGAACTTCATCCCCTACTTTAAAACTTCTCCTCTGACTTTTGGAATCAAAATAGGTTTTGTACTGGTCCATTGACAAGCTTAGGTTTTTCGAAACTATGTCAGAGGTCTCCTCAAGTTTGGATCTAAGGTCAAGGAGAAACTGGTAAGAAGACTGAACCTCAGCACTCACCTCCTCACTAGTCCATAAGTCATGAAGGATGGACAATGGACCTCTGGCCTGTCTACCATAGATAAGTTCAAAAGGTGAAAACCCCAAAGAGTCACCGGGAACTTCCCTCATGGCAAACAAAGCACAGGGTAAGTAACGATGCCACTCCTTAGGTTTAAGGGAGCAAAGTTTCCTTAAAATTGACTTTAGAATCAAATGCTGGCGCTCAATCCTCCCGTTACAGCTGGGATGATAGGGTGTGGTGAAGAGAGGCTTCACTCCCAGAAGTTGGTATAGATGTTGCATTAAGTCAGATGTGAATTGTGTCCCACGGTCAGACAAAATTTCTCTAGGGATGCCCACTCTGGAGAAGATGGACAAAAGGGCTTCAGCCACCTCTGTAGTAGTTATGGTTTTTAAGGGAACGGCTTCAGGGAAGCTCGAAGCATAATAAACTAATGTTAATATATATCTATGTCCCTCAGATGAAAGTGGAGATAAAGGACCAACGATGTCAATAGCTACTCTTTCAAACGGTACCGTAAAGATTGGCATTTTGACCATAGGTACTCGCCTGCTACCTCGGGAGGATGACAGTTGGCAAACTTTACACGATCTACAGTAGGTAGTGACAGCTAAGGACATTTTTGGCCAAAAATAGGTTTCCCTAATTTTGTTTGTTTTACGATGCGAGAAATGTCCTGCCACTGGCAGGTCATGAGCCATTTTAAGAAGTCTCTCTGCATTGACTTGGAACAACTAAGATGGAATAGTCTATCTCATCTGAATTTAATTTGAATACTGACTTGTACAAGATACCTTTTATATATTCAAATTTATATGAAAAGTTTTTCCTTTGGATAACTTGATTTTGTTTAGCAGCATTATGGCAATTCTGAAGAGAAGGGCAATTACGTTGTAAATTGACAAAGGAGTCCTTCGATATATCTAAAGGCTTAAAGTCAGGGAAAATCAAAGGATGGACAGTAGGAGAAGCCTGGGCTTTGGTCTGAGCCCTAGTCAAGACATTTATGGTATCAGAGGTGATATCTTCACTTTCATCTAACAAGTGAACCGGTGATCCTACTACCTCGCTTTCGAGAGTA